CCCCAAAACCCCAAAACCCCAAAACCCCTTCAAGGACAATGATTATAGAATTTTATCAATTTTATCATTCTAGAATGACTCCTTACAGAATTTAGATTTTGTTGAGGAGTCTCTTGATCTTCTCCTCATTCTCAATAGTCTTATCTCTAATGAATTTATTATGGTTATAGAGCTCTGAGATTGCTTGGGAGAGAGCCACATTCTCTTCCTTCACAAGGTCTACAATTTCCTTAATAGTACCATAATTCTTCAAGAGCTTTTTATGTTTTTCTACAAAATAAGAAGCAAACTTACCGTCTATCGTGGATGGAGGAAGCTGGTAATTCGACATACCTGGATTAGTCTTGACTTTCTCAAGTTCTTTCAACTTTCGAGTCTTTTCATCTACAAAATCGCTCAACCTACCCTACCTTGCTGTTTTTTCTTCTTTTCTTTAAGATCGTTCAAGAATGCAACCATCCTGTTCTGCAGCATGTCCTCGAACACATCCGAAGTTCTCCGATCCTTGTTTCTACCAGGTTTATTAAACCCAGTAGGGGCTTGGCTGAGGCTTTGAGCTATGCGATAACTAGACAGAGACTTACTTTCTTTCTTAGCCAGTATTTTAGAATTTATGCTCTTGGTCTCCTCGATTTTATCAGCTAGCTCTTCTGAGTCCACACTGTTGCTAGATGCCTCAGAGCTAGAAGAGCTCTGAGAGGTTGCGCTTTTGGACATAGTCTCTGAAAGAGCTTGATTGATCTCAGACTCTAAAGGCACGATCTCATCTTCGCTATCAATCTCTGCAACCGGGGAGTTCTTGATGCTCCTGTAAAGTCGATCCTCGAAGGTCGACTTTTCACCCTTTGTCTCAAGATGAGCTCTAAGGTTCTTCACGATGAACTGGGCGGGCGATTTCGGGTCGATTTCTCCTCTCTGAGATTTCTGTAGTTCCTAATAAGAGTAATTATGGATGTTTAAGAAGGATTTGTAGATTTAGACAAGAAATATATTTTTGCCAAACCATTTCACTTTTTGTGAAGAGTGTTACCAGATTTCCTATCAGAGATTGCCAGGATTATCAGGCTGGGGATTAGGAAATTTAATAGGTTTTAGGAATATAAAACTCACTATATAAGCTTTCTTGTCTTTCTGAAGAGACCGGATGATGTTCTCTTGATGAGTATAAATTCTTTCTTTTGCTAGTTTTGTAAATCTCTCCATATCTTTTGGGATTTTCTCAATAAGTCTCTTGACATCAACTCTGGAAAGAACGAGGAGATTGACTTCTGTAGCAGGCATAGCTGTGGAATCATGAATCCCTGTGAAGATATCACAATCACCAAAGTAAGATCCTTCTACATACTGATTAAATCCTTTCATTGAAGGAGGACTCAAGTATCTAGTTGAGAGGTTATACCAAAGCTTGATTCTCCCTTTTAGTATAAAATACATTTCTTTCCCTTTCTCTTGCTGATTATAGATAACAAGCCCTGCCATTGCTTTCAAAGGTTTCAGCATGGGCACTATTTTCCACATAAAGCTAATGTCCTTATCTCTAAAGAACAAAATTTTTCTAATAACCTCTCCATGTGTATGGGCGATCACTTCAGATCGCAAGCTAGAAGGAAGGTCGTTTAAAAGTAAATCCTGGTATTCAGAGTTATCAGAATTCTTAGAATTCACTTCAATAAATTGTCTGATCTTGGTATGTGTGCCATCTGGTAGATCTAAACAAATCTAAGTGCTGCCATTAACAAAGTAGAGAGATATTTAGATTTTTGAGGAAATAACTTACCAATAGAGAACTCATTCAAATTGCTTAGATATGCCTGAGTTCTTGACTCAGCTACATCAAGACTTGAAATAATTGATGCCAAGTTACTCACTGTGATTGAATAAAAGATCACACCGAAGATCATCCAAAAAATCGTAACATACAGTTCTACCTCAGTTTTAGCAGTGATATCTCCGAACCCAACGGTGGTCAAGGTTTGGAGGGCCCAATATACACATAGAAGATACAGATAGAATTCAGATTTATCTTGATAACCTCCTCTAGCAAGCCAAGTATCAGGATTACTCCCTTGCGCCTTGGCAATGCCATACCATAAACAACTGATAAGATGGATAACAAGGAAGGAATACACGACTGTCTTCATAAGCCTCAAGATCCCTGAATATCTTTTGAGGAAATCCAAGAACGCCTTGATTTTACTATTAGTCTGAATCACTTGAATGAAATTAAAGACTTTAAGGATCCTTATCATCTTATAAAGTCTAGGGAGCCTTGCCAGCCTGAGTAACTTCCCTGTGGAGCCTCCTAGGTTCCACCCCACAAGAATTCCGATCAATGTGAAAGGTATACAAGCTATTACATCAATGGTAAGCCATCCTTTAGCATAATTTAGAATGATCTGGCGAGTCCTGACTTCTAAGATTCCGTCCTTCCTCTCATATGCAGTGATACAGCTGAATACCACATCTAAGAAGAACAAAAAGTCAGAGAAATAGTCCCAAATGGTCCATCCAATGGCATTTGAATCTTCAATGAATGCAATCCTATACGGCAGAAAGGTAGCAATATAACACAAAAGACCTATAATGATCATATTCCAAATTATGTAGAACCTCTGTGTTGGTAGTAAGATAAAGAACCTGGGCTTCGCAGTATACTCTTCTCTCTCTTTATACTCAATGTCTTCGGTAACTCCGAATATAAGCTCTTCTTGAGGCTTTGTTAGGTTCGTAAAATCACCCTCAAACGCTGTTGTTAGATCTAAATTTAGTGTTAAGTAAAGCAACTTGGCTAAGTTTATTCTCAGACAAAATATTCATACTATATGTATAGTGAATAGAGTTTACAAATTTCGTACAAATAATTGAGGATTTCTCTGATTATTTCAACAGAGATAGAGGCATGTTACTAGGAAAGAGTACTTGGAAATTAAGTAAGTTCAATAAAAGTGTTGATCCTAACGTTTGTACCCAAATATATCAAAAAGACCTTCTTCGATTTGATTCTCAATCATGCACTTACTTGATTTATTTATAAACAGTAATTGTCTTGTGTGCGGTTAATAGAAGATTGATCTGATACTTCCATAGGGATTCTATATGTTCTATTCTTTGTTTTTCAGTGAATCCTTCCATATCCTCTCCATCAGAGTCATCTGATCCTGATGAGAATATAATGTCATTTCCTTGAATAAATTTCTTTCATCTCAGCTTCCTATAGCAGCTCTTTAGCTTGCTTGTAGGTTTTTGTTCTACATAATGAGCTAATCATTTGGGCAAACTTACGATGATTCGTTTTATGGCGGAATGTCTGGGTTTTAGAGTTCATCTTCCGGCTGGCATAATCAATCAAAGTTTGATCCTTATGTGTCTTAAACAAGTATCGAGATCTTTGTTTAACATGGTTCTTGGGGTTAACTACTTCCTCCTCACTGCTCAGCTCCGGTCGCGTCTTCTCTATTCTATAAGAAGTTAGATTAAGGGATTACCTGAGAATGTTATTGGTGGCTAGGACATGATCGTCAGGCATAGTATCTTCATTTTTGTAGTCTTCCTTATACATTTTACTTGCTTTAAAGCTTGAAGGTTTAAATCTGGTGGACTTCTCAGGGTCATCTCCCATACTACCCATCTCCTGATCTTCCAGGTACCTACTTAGACTTCTTCTTAAAGCCGCTTATTGGTTTGTTCTTTTTATTGCCTAATACTAGATATCCATCAGTGAAGCTCTGGTCTTTAAAGATATTATTTTCCACATTATCACTATTTAGCTTGTCATCAGTCTGATCTAGCCTGTCAGAACACAGTATATTGTCAAATCCTTTTGCTTCTTCGTACATTTATATTATTATAAATCAACTTTAATGCAGAAGTTAGGGGTTTTGGGGTTTTGGGGTTTTGGGGTTTTGGGG